CCCTAAGAACAGTGACTCATTCCCCAGGCTGTTTGGTTACGGGTAAGAGGCTTTTGTAATTTTGCCTGTTTGTATTTACACCACATACAAATAACGTGTGCATAGATTATCTTCTGTCAGATCGATGTGTGATCATGAGTATAGGCCCATTTGCCCAGCGGTAGGTACTACCTCCCCTGTCAGGGGCGAGGAGTGGGGTCAACATTTGCATGTGCGAGGGAGCATGGTCTGGCTGCCCAACCCTTGTGGGGGCTGCACACACACAGTCTCCGTTAGTCCACACCCCTTCCTTAGGAGGCCGAGGAAATCGAAACTCGGAAGAGCAAGTCATTTGGAAGATCAGCACTTCTCCCATAGTCTAAACGAGAATTTCCATTGGTGAAAGCTAGAATCTGCCCGGTAGTGTGCACGTGCCCTCCAGTACCTGTGCTGCTTGCATGTGTGTCTCTGGAGCCACTGGTCATGTTTGCTCTTGCTGATATCGCAGGATTGGGTGTAACTGGTGGGCACCTCCCAGTGTCCCCCTTGCCTTAGTGATCCTCTGCGGATCTCCCGGTATTGGGCATTGCCTTTTCCTTGACCCACATGGATATCGCCTACTTTCTACTTAGTGATTTTCCCTTCTCTCCTCTCTCACCCCTGGTAGCCATCCAAAAATGTTTCCTAATGTGTGTGAAGATTTTCTTGGATTTGTTGTCATAGCGGTTCTATACAGTATCCGTCCTCTGGTGATTTGCTTGATTCACTCAGCCTACTGTCCTCCAGGGTCATCTGCGTTGAGACATTTTTGGATTTGTGTGTCTTTTAAGATGCCATCATATTCCCCTGTATGTGCCAGGGGATGTGTAACCCGTTCATCTTTGGATGGGTGTGTAGGTGGCTTCTATCGGTGTGCTATTGTGAATCAGGCCGTAGTGAACGTGGGTGTGCGTATATCCATTGGTGTCTCGGCCTGCATGCCTTGAGACTATATACCTATTACTGGGAGTGTTGGATCAAATAATAGTTCTAGTTCCAAGGCAGTGCCATTCTGTTTTCCCCAGTGGATGCACTATTGTCCCACCAGCAGTGTGTGAGTGCCCCAATCCCCCCACGCCCTTATCAGTGTTTGCTTTCTGCCTTATTGAACTTTGCTATTAATGCTGGGATGAGATGATAGCTAATTGTTTTGATTTGCATCTCTCTAACAACTAATGGTCATGAGCATGTATGTTGGCCACCTGAATGTCTTTGTTGGTGAAGTGTCTATGTCTTCTGCTCCTTTTTTTTATTTGCTTTTTGTTGTGTTGGGGGTGTTAAAGTTTTCTATACATTTTTGAAATGAATGCTTTATCAGATGGCATTGCCAGCCCTGCCCTATTCTGTAAATTCTCTTTTC